CGTGCTGGTTAAAAATGTTTCATGTAAAGCTGCACAAGGTGTTAGATTTAGGTTTTGGAATGAAAATAATTCTTCATTGATTTTGAGATTCAATACACATCAATATATAATACACGGCAAATTGGTGTAATTGGAAATAAGAATTAATCTGGGAATAAAAATGAGTAATATGCTGACAAATGGGAAGATTGCTGTAATTTCCATTAATACAAGGAGTGACAAGAAGCTGGAGTTTCACTGTTGGATTTCATACATTCACCTTCTTACCACACGCGCACATGTACGTTCTCAATGCTTATTTACATGATTTGAAACGCTTAATTATCTAATTGCTTTAACTAGATCTCACTATTTTTCTTCTTGATGATGCAGTTGATTCCTGGTTGACACTTGTTGTTTCAATAGTTGCTTCTTTTTAATACTCCATCATGCAATGGAGCACAGTGAATTGTGCAGGTTAGCCTAGTGTTATTAATTAAATTCGCTTAAATTTCTGTATCTTGCTAAGTTATTTAATGCCAAAACTTAATATTTCTATTTCCTGTAGTGGACTGTCGATACCCCTGTTACTCGTTTTTTTAATACTAGTGGCGGATCGGGCGTTGCACGATTACTGTTATAATTTTGTAAAAAATGTCATTATATTGATTATCTACTCCAGGACACATAAATATTTCTTTATATAGTTTCAATAATTTGAATAAATGGGTCTATGAGTTGTAGCAAGATTATACATACGGATGATAAGTGCACTGCAAACATTTCATTAAGTACATTCTATTCGGAATAGAATTATTAAAGTTAGTGTAAATAGAATGATTAACTGCTTCAAATTCAACACGCCATCAAACACTTGTACGTTGTAAATAGAATGATTAACTGCTTCAATTACAAATGCCTTCGAAATTCATAAATAAAAAGGAATTTATAAATTCTATCAAAACAAATCTAGACTTGCTAAGCCTTAATTTAAGGCTACCTGAAGTGATTTGCACAAACAATCGAAATTTCAGTTAACTCATGTTCTACCTACGAAATTCCAATTTGTTGTTCCCAAAAAATGACATTTTTATAGAGAGCAAAAACTACAAAGTGTGACACCAAATGTATCATTTTGTTGCCAAGGGAAAATAATCAAATACGGAGAAAGAAAAGATTCCCTAATTTGAACTATTGCACATAAATATTAATCTAATAAATCCTATCACCTAACTGGATGGTAATTGCATTTGATATTGTACAAAAAAAGTCAGTCACAAGCATGGATAAATGAGGAGGATTGTGCTAATAAGTTCATAGTCAGCACAAAACTTTATGAACTATTACATGAATCCTTACAAATGAGCCAATCTGAGTGGCAAGAGAACACTAATGCAACTCACGCATTTCGATTTTCAAGAAATGAGAAAATTTCAAATTTCACTTCTCAAAAACTGATAAACAAATTAGATCTACATAAATTAACGCAAATATAAGCATACAATAATGAACATCTAAATCAAGAAATTCAAATATGGAAAATTCAGAAATTCTGCTTACTGAGTGTGACGATATTTTGTTCTTGCACCATTTCGTTCATATAAAACAAAACCTACAACAACCACATTTTTCCTAAATGAGTTAAAAAAGAAAATATTAACACCCAACAATGTTAATCGTTTCAAGTTCATGTATCACCTTATCCACTAAGCCTAACTACATACTAACATTAACTCCCCCTCACCAACATATTGTCAGAGTTCTTGGCGGCACATAATATGATAAAAGTTTAAAATAAACTATAACTCTGTTAATTCATTGAGCTTTTTATCCAAAATCACGATATGTACATATAATAAATATAAATGAAAAGCTAAATATACAAGTAAAATCAAGGCATCGATTCACATGGTATAAAAAATAACAATAATAACCCATCCATGACATCATCACTGGTAGCTAAATTGAACCTAAAGCAATTAACAAGGAATTTGCAACTTATTTTCAGTTATTTCTTCGGAAACCAATTAATTGGCATACAGTTTTGCTCGAAAAAGGAATTTTTTTTTATTGAATTCAATTATCTACGGGTGGATTATTTTAATTGTTCTTACCTTGTGATAGGAATTGTTATTCAATTATCAATCTCTCCTATGTAATTGATATTTCCAAGTTCCAGCAAACAGGGATTTTTATGGACCTAGTGTACAAGTTTCAAACTCTTTCTGTTAGACCATTTTACCATTACCAACAATTACAACACTATTTTACTTCTTATGAAGTGCCTTTTACCGTGAACCAACTTGTCTCAAATCAACGAAACACTACTTTTAGTCCTTATACAGAGACAATATAAAATTGATATGAGAAAGAGTAACAATTTTATTTTATTTTATTTTATTTTTGTTTTGGTTTTATTAGGACTTCATCATTCGATGCAGTAAAAAGATGGACATAAGTGCTTACTGGGAATAAATAATGGTAGCAATCTCCTATTGTCAGCATATAGTTCCATGAAACAAGGGATCCCATTCCAAGAAGCCACCATTGCCTTGTATTTTCCCTGATGCAAAAGTTAATTTTTCAGTCAAAACTTTAATGTCTCAAAAAAGATTAAACATAAGAAAAATAATTACAAGAACCTCAAGCCTACTTGAACTTGGAACTCCAGTTGAATCAAGATTAGTCACGTTGGCCCATCCTCCATTCAAACTGCATAATGTACAGAAGAAAATAAATATTTTGAATAGAAAAAATGCCAAATCTCGAAAATAGTAGGAAAAAATACCCAGAAATAAACTGCACACAAAAACTTGTAAACACCATACATAAACATAAATTCAAGCAAAAAAATGCAAAAATAGTGATAAATTTCTCAAAGAATATCATCATCAGATTCATCACAAACATCAAAGGTACCAAATTTTCATCTCTGTACATGGACATTTATTTTGTGATTTAAACTTAGAAGTGAAATGCACAGAATTCTCAGGTCAAAGTCCCATAAAAATTGATTTTTCACTCTACCCACACCCTCCATCCCGAAATAAGAACCCCCTGCATTTTCGAAGCTCGAGTCGTAGTGGAATTTCATAACCACCCATGGTGAAGTACTTGTTGGATATTGGTTAAATAAATCGAAAATTGAAAATCGATTAAAGTGATTTCGTATCGACTTCTTCGAAAATCAATATCGGATGAATGAGAAATTACGAAAAAGGACGAAAATCAGTGAATAGACACCTTTTCATAAAGGTGCATTGTTTGGAAAGGGTGCATGGTTTGACCTTAACCATTAGTGAATAGACACCTTTGACATAAAGGTGCATTGTTTGGAAAGGGTGCATGGTTTGGCCTCAACCATTTCGTCCACACCCTTTCATGGTCTATAAATAGGACCCTTTGGGTGTCTTATTTCTCACAATTTGATATGCAAAATATCTCTCATCCTCTCTTCTATCCAAAATCAAAATCATTTCATTTATTTTGATTTTCCTTCTTTTCATCCTTGGAGTACATAAGCCTAAATTTGGTTCGTTGTACTTGTGTTTTGGAGTGCTACAAACACAAGTATAGCCGTTGTATCTTGGGAGTCGATTGCCGAAATCCGTAGGCACCGTTGCGGGGCAAATTCGACTTAAGGACAAAGAGTCCAACTCTTGCCTCGGCTTTGTCCCTACTCTCTTCTTCTTCTTGTTTGTGTTTTCTTTGCCGTTACTCTGTCCAATTTTCGGCACGGATTTACAAACCATCATTATACTTATTTTGGCGTCACTATTCACAAAATTCATCCAACAATCTTAAATCGAATTCTATAAATTTTGTGAAAGTGACATTCTTGTTTGGTTAAACTTGTTAAGTTTAACTTCTTCTTCAATTCTAATTTTGGTTGATCTTCTGTTTTACGTAAACAAAAATGAATACGGTTCTTAATACCGATACTACTTCGAATGAAACTTCGAACATGGGAACTTCTGAAGGAAGTGTTCCTACCGGTGTGATTCCTCCCGTTCTGAATACAACTACTACTAATGTGATTCCTCCGGTTATGGGTGCCCCTACTATCGTACATTCAAACTCCGTTTCACATGGGGAAAAGCCGGATAAATTTGTTGGAGTTGATTTCAAAAGGTGGCAACAGAAAATGTTGTTTTATCTCACAACCCTCAACTTGGTGAAATTCTTGAATGAAGATCCTCCCGCCATACAAGAAGGGGAAAACAATAGGGCATCTTTGATTGCTTTGGATGCATGGAAACATTCGAATTTCTTATGCAAGAATTACATTCTTAATGGCTTGGACAACGCCTTATACGGTGTATATTGCTACAAGAAATCTGCAAAGAAACTATGGGAGTCCTTGGAAAAGAAGTACAAGACCGAAGATGCCGGAACCAAGAAGTTCATTGTGGGAAAATTCTTAGACTACAAAATGGTAGATTTGAAGACCGTCATCAGTCAAGTGCAAGAATTGCAAGTCATACTCCATGACATTCATGCGGAAAATATGTCCGTGAGCGAATCATTTCAAGTGGCTGCAATTATCGAGAAACTTCCACCCATGTGGAGGGACTTCAAAAACTATCTCAAGCACAAGCGCAAGGAGATGAACATTGAAGAACTTGTGGTCCGATTGAGGATTGAAGAAGACAACCGAAGTTCGGAAAAAGGAGTTTGGGATAGCATACCACAAGCAAAGGCAAATGTGGTAGAATCTAGCAACAACAAAGGAAAGAAGAGAAAGCATTCCGTTGAATCTACAAAGAAGAATGCAAAGAAGTTCAAGGGCAATTGCTACAATTGTGGAAAGGCTGGACATCGCTCGGTTGATTGTCGCAAACCTAAGAAGCAATCCCAAGCCAACATTGTCGAATCTGATGCCATATCAAATGGCATGTCCGATATGAATTTATCGACAGTTGTTTCTGAATGCAACATTGTTAGAAATCCCATGGAATGGTGGGTTGATACGGGTGCAACCCGTCACATTTGTGCCGATAGAGGAATGTTCACATCATACACTCCAACTGAGAGAGAAAAATTGTTTATGGGGAACTCCTCAACATCCAAAGTGGAAGGACAAGGCAAAGTGGTCTTGAAGATGACGTCGGGAAAAGAACTTAGCCTCAATAATGTCCTTCACGTACCGGATATTCGCAAGAACCTTGTGTCGGGTTCTTTGTTAAGTAAGAATGGCTTTAAACTAGTCTTTGTATCGGATAAGTTTGTACTTACCAAAAATGATATGTATGTAGGCAAAGGCTATGTAAAAGATGGACTATTCAAAATGAATGTCCTAACTGTTGTGCCAAATGCTACAATCAATAAAACGTCATCTTCAGTTTATATTCTTGAGTCATGTAATCTATGGCATCATAGATTAGGACATGCAAACTTTAATTCAATACAAAAGTTAATGAATTTAAGTTTACTTCCGAATATGCATTTTAATAATGAAAAATGCGAAACATGTGTAGAGGCAAAAGCGGCCAAAACACCATTTCATTCGGTTGAACGAAACACCACACCATTAGAACTAATTCACACGAATGTGTGTGATTTAAAGTTCGTACAAACAAGGGGTGGTAAAAAGTACTTCATCACATTCATAGATGATTGTACAAGTTACTGTTATGTGTACTTGTTGAAAAGCAAAGATGAAGCTTTGGAAGTGTTTAAACACTACAAAAATAAAGTTAAAAATCAACTTGGAAAAAGAATTAAAATGATTCGTAGTGATAGAGGTGGAGAATATGTTGCACCGTTTGAAGAATTTTGTGCAGAATCTGGAATAATTCATCAAACAACGGCACCATATTCACCACAATCTAATGGAATTGTTGAACGCAAAAATCGAACGTTAAAGGAAATGATGAATGCAATGTTGATTAGTTCGGGCTTACCTCAAAACTTGTGGGGGGAAGCCATACTTTCTGCAAATCATATCCTTAATAAAATACCACACAAAGATAAGGTTGAATCACCTTACGAATTATGGAATGGTCGGAAACCTTCCTACAAATATCTCAAAGTGTGGGGGTGCTTAGCTAAAGTACAAATACCCAAACCTAAACAAGTTAGGATTGGACCAAAGACAATTGATTGTGTCTTTATTGGATATGCTATCAATAGTAGTGCATATCGATTCTTGGTTCACAAATCTGAAGTACTTGATGTACACGTAGGTACAATTATTGAATCAAAAAATGCGGTCTTCTTTGAAGACATTTTTCCGTGTAAAGAAAAGGAAGTAAGTTCAAATAAACGAACTTATGATAACGTACATGGAAAGAATGATGATCTACAAGTAAATGAAGAACCGAGACGTAGTAAAAGGCAACGAATTCCAAAGACATTCGGTCCAGAATTCGTAACCAATTTACTTGAAAATGATCCTAGGACATTTGATGAAGCAATGTCCTCTCCCGAAACTCCTTTTTGGAAAGAAGCTGTACACAATGAAATTGAATCCATCATGAGTAACCATACTTGGGAATTGGTTGAACTCCCTCCGGGAAACAAAGCTTTAGACTGTAAATGGATCTTCAAAAAGAAATTGAAGTCGGATGGATCAATTGATAAATACAAGGCTAGATTAGTAGCCAAAGGGTATAGACAAAAAGAAAGACTAGATTTCTTTGATACCTATTCACCCGTTACAAGAATTACGTCTATACGTGTCTTGATTGCAATCGCAGCATTGCATAATCTTGAAATACATTAAATGGATGTCAAAATCGCGTTTCTAAATGGTGAATTAGAAGAAGAAATCTACATGAAACAACCTGAAGGGTTTGTTGCACCAGGAAATGAAAAGAAAGTGTGTAGACTCGTAAAATCATTATATGGATTGAAACAAGCACCGAAGCAATGGCATGAAAAGTTTGATAAAACTATGTTGTCAAATGGCTTCAAAATCAATGAATGTGACAAATGTGTCTACATTAAAAACGCACCTAATGAATATGTAATCATATGCCTATATGTTGACGATATGCTAATTATGGGAAATAACTCCAAAGTCATTTCCTCGACCAAGAAAATGTTAACAAAACATTTTGACATGAAGGATATGGGAGTGGCGGATGTAATATTAGGGATTAAAATCTCTAAGACATCCGATGGTTTGTCATTGTCTCAATCACATTATGTTGAGACTATACTTAAGAAATTTAAGGCGTATGACGATAAACCGGTTAAGTCACCAGTTGATTTAGGTATTTACTTAGCCAAGAATACTGGTGAGCCCGTATCTCAATTGGAATATTCACGTGTCATTGGTAGTTTAATGTATATTACCAACTGCACAAGACCGGATATAGCATACATAGTCAACAAGTTGAGTAGATTCACTAGTAATCCAAGTGTTGTACATTGGAAGGCATTAAACCGAGTTCTTAGATATTTAAGACACGGTTGAATATGGATTACACTACTCAAAATATCCTGCAGTATTAGAAGGATATACTGATGCAAATTGGATATCTGACACTAAGGATTCAGAATCCACGAGTGGTTATGTATTTACCATTGGAGGTGGAGCCGTGTCCTGGAAATCGTCTAAGCAAACATGTATTGCTCGATCCACGATGGAATCTGAGTTTATTGCGTTAGACAAAGCCGATGAAGAAGCAGAATAATTTTCTTGAAGAAATTCCATGTTGGGAAAAGCCGATTTCTGCGATTAATATACATTGCGATAATCAGTCGGCAATAGCAAGGGCACAAAACAGTATGTATAATGGTAAGTCTCGACATATCCGTCGGAGACATAATACCATTAAACAGTTAATATCGAATGGTATAATCTCTATTAACTATGTGAAGTCAAAAGAAAATTTGGCTGATCCTTTGACGAAAGGACTTGCAAGAGATCAAGTATACCATCTTTCGAGGGGAATGGGCCTAAAGCCTGTTGAATAGAATTACTATGACAGAAACCCAATCTTGTAGATTGGAGATCCCAAGATCTTGGTTCAATGGGACAACTAAGTCATAAATGATTCGGAATAAAGCACTTATTCCCATTCCTAAAATTTAAAGTGCTATGTAAAATGCGCATAAGGATAAGTATACATATATACTTTTAATGATTCATAACCTTGAGATAGAAAGGTATGAGATCACCTATATAAGTGTGAAATGGGGCCGTTTCTACGAGAATTCGAGGCTTAATTCTCTTAGAGCACTTATGAAACCAAGAGTTGTCCAAGGCCAAAATGAACTCAACCATGAGAACCGAATAGGTTAGATGAGTCATGGTGTTGGTACAGTTGTTTGGTTTTACACGAACGGCTGGATGGTTCAAGACATCGCGTTCACCAACTAGCCTAGTAAATCCGATTGTATTCAACTAAAGAAGGTTCAAGGCCACAAGCTACCTATCTTGATGCTATGACTTGTCGTGTGTACTCCATTTGTTAGAGTCTGCATTTCATTTGCATTGCATTCGCATTGTGTTGCGCATATCGAGAAATTTCCATTCATGTGGGGGATTGTTGGATATTGGTTAAATAAATCGAGAATTGAAAATCGATTAAAGTGACTTCGTATCGATTTCTTCGAAAATCAATATCGGATGAATGAGAAATTACGAAAAAGGACGAAAATCAGTGAATAGACACCTTTTCATAAAGGTGCATTGTTTGGAAAGGGTGCATGATTTGACTTCAACCATTATTCATGAATAGACACCTTTTCATAAAGGTGCATTGTTTGGAAAGGGTGCATGGTTTGACCTCAACTATTTCGTCCACACCCTTTCATGGTCTATAAATAGGACCCTTTGGGTGTCTTATTTCTCACAATTTGATATGCAAAACATCTCTCATCCTCTCTTCTATCCAAAATCAAAATCATTTCATTTATTTTGATTTTCCTTCTTTTCATCCTTGGAGTACATAAGCCTAAATTTGGTTCGTTGTACTTGTGTTTTGGAGTATTACAAACACAAGTATAGCCGTTGTATCTTGAGAGTCGATTGCCGAAATTCGTAGGCACCGTTGCGGGGCAAATTCGACTTAAGGACAAAGAGTCCAACTCTTGCCTCGACTTTGTCCCTACTCTCTTCTTCTTCTTGTTTGTGTTTTCTTTGCCATTACTCTGTCCAATTTTCGGCACGAATTTACAAACCATCATTATACTTATTCTGGCGTCACTATTCACAAAATTCATCCAACAGTACTGTTCGAAATCGAACCCAGCAAAACAATCTTCCTCTTTCTGCTGATTCTGCCCCTGTGCGTGAGAAAAGAAGATAAATTAGGGGAAAAACAGTGAAGGAAACATTCAAGGAAGGAGACGTCTTGTTTGTGCGGGGATTCTGGGGAAGTGGAGTAAAAACTAAGGACCACGCTATTCTGGGAAACGATATTGGTGGAGATGTAATCGGACTTCTTGAGTTTGGGCAGCAGATGAGAAGCACACAAAATCGTTCCCAGCTGGGCTTACTTGCCAAAAATGTGTGCTTCTCCCAGTGAGCCTCTCTGCAAATCGAACCCAAAAAATATGGGTTTCTAGGCCGGAGTTACTGGAGTCGACGTCGGGCTTCGTAGATGATGACGGGCTTCGGGTTGCAAATGGCCGGCTTCTTGGTCGTCTTCTATTTTGGGGGAAAAACAAGTGAAAGTGGTGAACCCAACTAAAAAGCATGGGTAGTTCAGTAGTTGCGTGAAAAAATGGAAGAAGCCTGAGAGAAGAAATGGAAAAACAGACGGTTGTGTGAATAACAATAGAAAGGAGTCAGACAAGTGTGATTTGCTCAGTGCATTTACTACATAAATGGAAGTGAGAGGTAATGTTTATGTGAGATAAACACTCAAATTGAAACGATTGTTGCGTGAATAACAATAGAAAGGGGTAAGAGAAATGTCCTTTGCCCCATTATATCTCATTAAATTTCATTTTCTGCACTTCTTCAACTGACTTTATTGACTCAAGTGTGTTGTGGCTGCAGCACTTTGCAGGAGACCCATTTTTCAAGTGGACAAAGGACGAAAAAGCCCTCTTTTGTCTCCCACATATTAGAAATGTGTCCCTAACTAAATAAATAGGGGAGTTGTTGAAAGGCACATTAATTACCTCCTGTTACACATATAATACTATCAATCTGAAATGTATGATAAATGGGCCCCACAATTGTTTGAAAAATTGACAAATAATGTTTTTTTTTATGTGTTTTGGCCAAACGGGAGTTAGACAGCTAACACAGCTCGGCTTAGTTGAAAAATGGCTTATGAACAGTAACCGGGTAAGGAAATCCGATGAACAGTGAAATTCAAGAACTCTCTTTTAATATTTGTAGGATATTTTTGAAGTATGCCGTTTATATTTAACACACTGATTCTTTGATTCTTTCTTGAGATAATAATTTTCCGTTGTCTAAATTCTTAGTCCATATTTAGTAGGATCTTGTCAGCGACCTTTGTCTTCGGATCTGATGACTCTATAGAATCAACATTTTTTAAACCTGTCAGTAGGGCAATAATTTTTTATGCAAAGGTTGCATAATTCAGGCAATCAACTGAATCAATAATATTTAGACCTTTAACTGTTTCATCATAATGATATATTACTGAGGCAATAAGACAATATATAATCCTTCCAGTATGATATCAAATAGGGTAATTGACGCAAAACATCCTTACCTTTCGAGGTTATTGTGGAAAACGTCCCTACCTTTCATTTTTTGGCATTTTTGCCCTTATTTACCACCTTTCTTGCGCTGAAGGTCCTTTTCACTGTTTTTTGACGATTTTGCCCTCTATTCAAATAAAAGAAAAAGAATAGAATAGAAAACAAAAGAATTAATTGCAACTAATACCCCAAAATTTCAAAAAATTACAAATTAGTAATAAATATAGGAGTTAATAGCCCAAATGGTTACTAAACTTTGCCAAAGGTCCAAAAAAGTCATTGAACTTTTTTAAATACAAAAAGAAAAAAAAAACCAACAAAAAAAATTGAAGAAACGGGCCCCACCAACAAAAAAAGGACAAAAAAAATAAGGAAGGTGAAAAGTAAACCAAAAATTATTTTTTATTTTTTCAATCGTACATTTTTAATCAAAATTTATTGAAAATTTTATTTTTAAAAATAAAGAAAAAAAATACAGATTATTTTTGCTAAAAATAAAATTTTCAATAAATTTTGATTAAAAATGTACGATTGAAAAAATAAAAAATAATTTTTGGTTTACTTTTCACCTTCCTCCATTTTCACATTCCTTATTTTATTTTTATTATTATTATTTTTGGTCCTTTTTTTTGTTGGTGGGGCCCGTTTCTTCAATTTTTTTTGTTGATTTTTTTGGTTTTTTTTTCTTTTTGTATTTAAAAAAGTTCAATGACTTTTTTGGACCTTTGGCAAAGTTTAGTAACCATTTGGGCTATTAACTCCTATATTTATTACTAATTTGTAATTTTTTGAAATTTTGGGGTATTAGTTGCAATTAATTCTTTTGTTTTCTATTCTATTCTTTTTCTTTTATTTGAATAGAGGGCAAAATCGTCAAAAAACAGTGAAAAGGACCTTCAGCGCAAGAAAGGTGGTAAATAAGGGCAAAAATGTCAAAAAATTAAAGGTAGGGACGTTTTCCACAATAACCTCGAAAGGTAAGAATGTTTTGCGCCAATTACCCATATCAAATATGTCTTAATAAGGTTACATTATTAAAGCTAGCTTTACCACTAGTGAAATTAACGTCGAATACTTTGTTTTTCAGTCTTGATCCTTCTATTTACTACCAGAGCTGTCTAGTAAATAAAAAAAAAGTTCTCTTTGGCTGGCTGACAAAATTAATTCACAAAATGGGGCATTCTGAGAATCGAACTCGGGAGCGAGAATCATACCACTAGAACAAATGCCCTATTATTTTTAATTACTCTGTTCCATGGATCATAACTGTTTACAAGTCTGACCTATACTGATATTTATTTGCAGTGAACTCAAAGTTTTGATAGTTGACCTCTCATTACATTACCTGGGACTTTAAAGGTGTGACTGGTAAGCGCGTGACAAATTATGTGGACAAGTAATGGTTTTGACTTTTGAGTAAATGTTTCTGTTTCATTTTCCCTATAATGACTTCACTTCTTTTATCATTTGTTCTTCTTGGAGATGGTAAAAATGGGTAATTGTGATTCCCTTTTAGTTGATTAAGGACTAAAGGAATTCCCCTGGCTGGAATCAAAATGGTAAGATTGAAAAACAAGAGTAATGACATTTTTCATTGGATAAATCACAAAATTTATGGTGTAGTTTTATTTTAGTCACCAAACTTATTTTGATTTTATGTGATACTGAAGTTTACTTTGGGTTTTAGTTTGGTTAATCAGCTGGTATTTGTTTTGACATCCAACGTGCAGACATTTAGTGGTGGATCGAAAATTTTGAGCAAGTACGGACGAAAGTTAACAATAATAAAATATTAAAAAATAAATATAATAATTATTTTGCTAAAAATTGAACGTATATAATTTTGTTATATATGTTGGCAATATTGTCAAATGACATGGTGTTAGGCTTTGTATAATTCAAAGGAAGGAGCATGGGTTCCAAACCTATCAATTGCATTAAAACCACTAAAACGAAATATATATTATTTTGTGACATTTAGTGTCAAAATTCACGAAGTGCAATGATGTGTAAGTTTTCAATAATCTTAATGAGAGGTCACAAATTTGAGTCTTCTTCTTATTGCATTAGTTTTGGTGAAAATTGAACTATAAAAATTGTGCAATAAAATTGGTTAGGAAGAGATTCGATCCTTGGGCTTCCAAATTGTAATTGAACGCTCTAGGCAATTGAGTTACATGAGATGCTAAGAAGTAGAATGAATTATCAGGCATATAACAAAATTGTCAAAAAAAAAAAAAAAAAAAAAATTTGTTCGTGGTGGATCCAGCGTGTGGCCATTGGTGCTCGTCGGGAGCTGGATTCCCTACTGTAGATACCTTATAAGATTGTTGTATTCTACATCGTATCTCCTGTTAAAAAATATTAATGGCTTTTAATTTAGTGATGATCAATGTTTTAAAGCCATTTGACGTCAACATAAAATGGGGATCAAATTTTAATTTTTGAACATTCATTTTTATGTATCTGCGTTGCAACAGGGGGGGTGGGGGTTGCTTCCTTTGGTCTTTACTTAAAAGTTCGCCAAAAATAAATGCTGAATGGCAATTGCCCACAGTTAGCTCCTCCTTTTCAGGCTTCTTTCCTCCCCTACTTTAGGCCCTTTATGAATCTGATCAATGAAAAAAGGTAAACTTATAGAGGGAAAATGAGGCCATAGATATAGAGAGAGAGAGAGAGAGAGAGAGAGAAGAATTGTACTCAACTCCTCTTGTTCTCTTTCTCACGCTTGTCAAGGGTCTTTTTAGGTAGAGTTTTGTTACACGTATATCAGGGTTAACACTTCGTTGTACACTCTCTCAAGAATGGATCCCAAGGTTTTTTTATTGAATGTGGGCCTCCCTCATGTGAGGTGAGTGTGTACAAATAGAATCTTTCTTCCAGGTAAAATAAACGGCTTTTGCTGAAAAGATCAAAAATGCACCGCTGAAGTATATTTGGTACAACCAGGTATATCATAAAGCTTGCTTCATACGCCACCATTGCAATAATACCCTCAAGGTAACCTACATTTTTTATGATCACCTTAATTTTTCTTCTGATGATCGATTCAACTTCTAATAAAAAAGATGTGCATCGATCATATTTCATCTTTTCAACAAGTTTAGTAATGAGTGTTACAGACAAGTAAACATTATTATATTTCATGACATCCTTTAAATGTTTAGCTTGTTAGGTACATCAATTTTTTCTTTGTCCATACCTCTTCAGGAACGAACAGATATTGGAATTTATTTCCATGAAAACTCCATCTGTGGTTTTATCATCTACGTTCATAGTTCATAGAGGGGTTCATCGAGAATTTGAACCTACTTCTTTTGATTTAAACAATCCAAATCAAATTAAATTATATATTCCACGTCGGTCTAATGTTTCATTTTATTGTCCTTCTCAGCTCAGTAATTTCAACTCCTTTCAGCAGTTAAGATTAAAAATAAGAATATGGAGAAAAGAGGTTGAGAACGTAATTGCAATAATAAGCAAATATTGGAAACCTTCATTATAATTTAAACCCCCATTTGGCCCCCATTAATTATAATTTTATTACATTTCGTTTTTTTCTCTCCTATTTTCAACCACACAATCTTTCATAAAATAATATTACATGCAAATAAAAAACTTTTACTTTTTTTTCAACCACTCGTTTAAAAAAAAAAAAAAAAAAACATTATTGCACTTATTTTCATTTTCCCAAAATGGGTGCCAAACGAGGGCTATAAATATGATGTACCTCAAAATTTTGTTGTAAATATAATTAGCTATACATAATTATAGAGTAAATTGCATATTCCATCCTTCACTTGGCCAAAGTACCGAACTCCTCAGCCCCTGTCACAGGCCCTTGTTTGAGTAGCAAAATTCTGGTGTAAATTAGCAAATTTGGTCCATTTTGACATATTTCATTCAATATGTGTAAAATGACGATCTTTCCCTCTAACTTATGTAAACCAAAATAAAATAAAACAACAGTAAAATAATTATAAAAAAAAAGGCTAAGCAAAATTTAATTATTAAGAATCAAGCATAAGAGATAGAATAAGAGAAAGAAAGAGAAACATTAAAAAAAAAAAAAAAAGGGAAGAAGAAGTGCCACCTATACCACCACCTTGCCTTCTGCCTTTTCCTGATTTTATTATTTAATTTATTTTGCTTTACTTGTGTTAAAGGGCAAGATCCTTATACTGCGAAACTCAAGGAAAAAAAACCTGGTCTCTATTTGGTTCAATTATAAAAAGTTGATTAGAATTTAAATTAAAATCAATAATTAATTTTAATTACATATTTCATAGGATCTTCTTTCATTTGAAAATGCAGTTTTTCCTATTATTATTGGTAAATAACATCCAGAATGATAGATGTGGGACTTGTCTTAATTGTAAGTACATTCGCTATTTGATTCAATCTTCAATTCCATGAAATTTGGATTCCAAAATATTTGTTTCTTTTTAACTTTTAAGTGGCAAGGGTCAAAATTTTTCGACGGTATATTCATTAACTTTTATTAAAAATTAATAAAATATTTATTTTTATCTAAACCAAACATAAACTCAGTTATTTTCTCCTTTTTCATCGTGTGATGGGGGACCCCTCGTAACTCTTGTAGTGGGTTAGGGGTTTTTTTTTCTTTTTTTTTTTTGTGTTTTAGTTTTTATCCTTTCCTTTTTTGTTATTGTTTTATTTAATTTTTGTTTATTTGTGTTAAAGGGCATAGGGTTATTTTGCGTAGTTTAACAGTTTTTTAGATGAAAATTGTCGGAACCAAATTTGCTAATATCAAAGGTTGCGGACAAAATGTAGAAAAAAAATGGTTAGGTATGAGATCGCTACTTTTAGGAAAGATTAAAGATAAAATCTGCAATTTATCCATAATTGTATGCATAGACTAGGTACGGGGTAAAAAGACCGGATGGTCCCTCATGTGCATATAAAGTTCTAAATTTTAAAGCATACTTCATTAGTCCTTCAACTTAACATCGTGAACCTCGTTGGTTTCTTCATTTGTCTCTACCTTTCTAACTAGACTTAGGTAAAAATCAATCCAAACAGGTCAAATTGATCAACCCAATTCAAATCGATTGCTTTGGGTCAATTTTTTTAGTTCAATTGGGTTCAGTTCTAGTTGAAAAACTAAATTTTAGGTCGGGTCGAATGTTATCAATTAAAATTCAACTCAATCCAATCTAACCCAATGAATTGAAAAAATAATAACTAAATCTGTTTCCTTACGATGAAATTTGAGTAGAAAAAAAACGAATTTTAGGAAATTGAATTGTTTAAAACTTGTTTTCATGGAAATTGTCAACTAACGTGCTTGATTGGTATAATTTTTCACCTAGAAAATATTGAAATTTTGGATATTTTGGTATTCGTTTGACTTTATTTTTCATGAAAATTGTCAATTAAAATGATTTAATTTTTTACAATTGTGCATAAAATTTGTTCCCATTACTAAAAAAAAATAAAAATAAAAAAGCTGGAAAACCGTTGGCGAGAATTGGTTTTCCACCAATTCATGGAAAATGCACATGTGGAGAAAAGATGAAAAATGAATTCCATGAAAATTTTGCCCAATCAAACAACAAAAAGGTGGAAAAAAGAGGGGAATATTCCATTTTCTGTGGAAAACTTTGCATATCAAGCAGGGCCTTAGGCCATCTCCAACCACAACACCATTGCACCATTTTGCACCATTTTTTGGTGCAAAATTGCTCCAACCCAACACCAAACTTTGCACCATTTTGGTGCAAAATGGTGCAAAGTGAATAGTGTTGATTATAAAGAATAAAAAAAGGGAAGAAAATGGTTAAATACTGTTCATTTGGTGTAATTTTTGGTGTAATGGTTGGAGATGAATTTTAGTTTGGTGTAAGATTTGGTGCAAAATTTGGTGCAAAATGGTGCAAAATTTGGTGCTGGGTTGGAGATGGCCTTAGTACCTAAAAATCAAATTCAAACTTTTTAGTTTTTGCTCTGCCACTCATGTTTTCTGTCAATTTAACAGGTTTTTATAATATTTGAATTTCTTATTGTAGCCCCTGTTTGAATCTTGTTATATTAAAATTTCATTATATTTCATTTTTTCTCATATTTTCAACCACAGAATCTTTCATAAAATAATATTATACGTAAACTGAAAACTTCTCATTCTTTTTCAATCACTCTATCTTTCTTTTTTTTTTTTTTTAAAAATAATATTCCATTCATTTTCATTTCCAAAAAAATGGGGGCCAAACAGGTCCATTCATATTACCAATTTCATATTGGAAGCACTTGTCATACATCCATAATTAGTCAATATAGAATAATTGTTAAAAATGAGTATAAAAATTGTGAAGTTCTATTTTGAAGAGAAAGAAACAAGAATAGTATAACAATGTGTAAAGTACATATGCTCCTAAATAGTAATATAATGGAAAATCAGTTTTAGTCAACACAACATATAGAACATGTCATACACCTAAAAGGGAGCTTTCAACAAGTCATTTTAAAGAACTGATTCGATTTCTATACAATATTCGATTTAAATTGTGGAAAAAGAAAAGAAAGAAAAAATGGCCGAGAAATTCAATCCCCAAAGCATACATTCCTGTCCACTATCAATAATTATTAATCATAAAAGGTAGCTAATCAAATGTCATTACCAACTTCAACACCAAAAAAAAAATATATCTCAAAACTTTTAACAAAAGAAAAATAAACAAATTCTAATGGTATATCCCTCTCCTCAACTTCTTAAAAGCATGCATCAAGGAGACAGCAGCAGCACAGGGCAGCCAAACTGCATTAAATTTCAAAATCAAATCTCAATACAAGTGGCAAAATCTGACCTTAATAATTATAAATATATAAATAAATAAATAAATATTGAGATACTGACTTCGGAAAAAAATTAAAATTTAGCTAGTTGTTAGACGATGTACAAAAAGGTTTATTTATTTATGGATAAAAGTGGTGAAAATATCAAATTCGCGTTGAGAAATTCAGCAAACTTGACTGCCGTAATTTAAAGTATTACGATATTATTAGTTCGAAAAAAAAAAAGTATTAAAAAACAATAATTCAACTTTACTGACCCCTACCATCATCTTATATATTATACGTTTAGCCATTGTACAAGCCCATTTTTCAGTATTACACTTTTCTTCGAACTTATTTTCAAATGCATATTCTCTTAATAAAATAATATTATTCGTAAATTTAAATTCTTTTCCTATTTTTCAATCACGCATTTTCCAAAAATTCACTGTTCCAAAATCTATTTTTGCTAAATATTAGGACTCCAAACAAGGGCTTAGGAATTAAAATCTGAGGAAATTACAGTAGAGGTCCTCAACTTATTGGACATATATCAACTAGGTCATCAACATGCCATTTTAGTGACTATAGACGACAACCTTTTTTGGGTTTTGCTATTTGTACATTAGAGCATTGACACCCCGTGTACAGCCACCTCACAATGGGAGGTTCTCGCCCAATAAAAAAGTCATGTACCCCATTCTAAGGGGACATGTACACCAAAATATCAACCCTGATGTACACATGGCAAAAGCCACCTTTTATTTTGTAGCACTTGAGTCCCTCATCGATGAAAGGGTCAAATCATAAAATCGGGACACAAATACTAAGACAAAATGTAGGTGACTAATGCTGCAAAACGTTAAGCCGAGGATCTACATGGTACATTTTTTATAAGTTTAGGGATTCCAGTTATAAATTTTTCCTTGAGTTTTAAGGTTCTTGTCAAATTGAAGAATTATGTGTTCCCAACCAACCAAAATTCCCACCCCTACGAGGCGTACGGGTAACTCAACTCTCCCGAGTCGCTAACCGAGTTGACTGGCACCAACTCATCGAATCAATAACCACTCCTACATATTTTGATTATCAAACCCCGATCCATCAGATCTATAATCCAAATTCCAAGTTTCCCATTGAAAAGTGGATACATACGATACACATGTAAAACAAAAAAACAACAACAACAACATGCATTAATGTAGAGAATTTGAAATCTGTTCATACCAGCCTTCAATGACACCGCTGCTTGATTTTTGCTGCTGTGGCGGTGGAGGAGGCGCAGCGTATTGCGGGGGATAGCCTTGCGGTGGGTAACCTTGGGGTGGGTAACCTTGCGGTGGGTACCCCTGTGGTGGCGGGTATGCATCCTTCGGATACCCTTCCGGTGGATAACCTAATCAAATATAACTCAAATTTCAATTCAAGCATATCAAATCAAACCAGAAAAATTGTAATTAAAGGAGTTTATAGACGTGCCTTGAGGGGGAGGAACCCCAACTGGTGGCTGATTCTGACTGTAATAACTCATAACTTTTTTTTCTCTTAAAGGCTGCTATTCGGGTTGAGGGATTTTTTGTTGTTCAGACTTTAGGGTTTTGAAATTGAGAAACGGGATTTCCAGGTTTTTATAGGTGAAGCAGCCACCGAGAGAGACGCGTTAAGGATAACTTCGGTTCTACGTAACGTAATATGATGGAGTGAGGATTCTATGCGGTGGTTAGACGCGGTTTCAAATTAGTATTCAGGAAATTTGCACTATTAGTCCTTATACTATGGTCTCGCAAATCATGTTGGTCCCACCTCATTTATGTTTTATCCTTTAAATTACTCGTATGTATTCTAGTGTTCTAAAATGCACACATAGTAGTGGCAATGGGCCGAGCAATCGCACGAGCTCGGGCTCGGCTCGTTCAATTTGGGCGAGCTCGTGGGCCGAGCCGAGCTTGGACTCGTGAGCTCGTCAATTTTTTCTTTTTTTAAAGAGTGTTACAAATAAATGAAATAATAGAAAATATTTTTAAAAAAAATAAAAAGTGTTAAAAAATACAAATAATTTAACGAAAACAATTTTTTATTTTTTTGTTTATATCATATTGTAATATTTTTTATAAAGTATAAAATATTTATATAATGAAGACGAATTATTTTTTGAAATACATTTACAAAAAATATATTTTTTTGATTTCTTTTTAAAGTAGATAAAATGTAAACCCTCCTCTTTTATTTAGGTTTGGAACCGGCTACATCAATTTTAAGTAGGCGGAGTTAAAAATTGTACAGGAACAACTTGTTGTAACGTGTACAATTTTTTAAAGAAAATTAAATTTAACGATTAAAAAATAAAGAAATTTTGATTAATATAATTAAATCAAATATCACTTACCTGTGTCACATACAATTTCAGCGTATTTATCTTATAGTCGAAAATGAGCGTCCTGTCAATCTTTCACGCACATTAATGCTTCCAAAACATTTTCTTTCAGTCAGCTCCTGACATCGGTAACCGGAGGTGTCAGCAGATCTTTCGTAATTGTCGAAACAATTGGCCAATGTCTTTCATACTTTCGTCAGAATTCAATTACTTCTTCTGAACTTTTTTAAATTGTTCTGTCTGTTGGTATATTATAATTGACATAATCAATTAATTCACAGGCATCGCATTTTGAGTTTCGATCGATATTTGATGAGATGCAAATGTAAACGATATGGCACTAGATGAACACATTGCAGTTGCATCATATCTAAATGTATTAATGCTTTGAAATAAATTCATTATTTCGACATCATCTTCTTTAATTTTAGCAAAAGGAGTAGGTGCAGAGGGTACCCGACTAATATTCGCACCCATTTTTTCCGCATATAAATCATACATTCCACATAATGTTTGCTATAAAATCTTATAGGTGATAGGTGTATCAAGTATTAAAATTTTATTGATTTGATCAATTACGTATTTAGTTCCCGAAATATTATATTGGAGGTCCATTGCGCATGCTAAAGGAAATAACATAGGCAGTTCTTCCCAATATTTTCTAAACTTTAATTTCATAGCAATTAAAATTTCACTAAAAGCAGGATCATTTTTATATTTATGGAATGTTCTTGCAATTATATAAAGGCGTTCAAGAACCATACAGCTTGTGGGATAATAAACGCCGGATAAAATCTTTGTAGTCTCATAAAAAGATGTCAAAAATCGTTTAACTTTCAAAACTAAAATCCAATCGGATTCATTTAACATACCATCGTCATCACTTCTAACGTGTCTATTATTATAAAAGTCAGTTATTAAATTTTCGAAACCTTCAAATGACTTTAATAGCAAGTAAGTAGAGTTCCATCTATGACATACGTTGCTAATAAATGTTTTAGCAGTCATCACCCCTAGTTCGGCACAAAAATCTTCAAATATTTGTTTTCTACTAGGAGAGATAGTAATATATACTAATACATTCCTAATCTTTTGAAATTCATCCTTTATATATTTTAAATCATCTTGCACAATTAAATTGAAGATATGACACACACAACGAATATGAAACAAATACCCACCAAAATCAGGTTGAAGTGTCCTACACAATTTATCGACGACTACGTTATTAACACTAGCATTATCAAAAGTAAAAGATCGAATTTTAGTCTCGCAATAATATTCTCTAACAATACTGATAATAGTATTATATATGTTATTAACATTGTGAGGAAACTCAATAATTTTAAAAGCAATAATTTTCATATGCGTGCACCAAAGTGGGTCTATATAGTGTGCGGTTGCAGCTATATATACTCTTTTATTAACTCCTTCTCATATATCAGAAGTTAAAAATATAACACCCCCATATTGTTGCAACTCCATAATTAATTGTTGTTTTGAATTATTGAAATAATTTATTGTATCGGCACGAAGAGTGTTTCGACTTACCCCAACGTACCTCGATTGTAGATATTCTTTCACGAACAAGAGGAAGTGTTAGTTGTCTGCAATAGTCAAAGGCAACTCAGTGGCGGCAACAAATTTTACCATTCTGGTTCGAGTATTGTCTTCCGAGTACACCCACGTGGATAGGGGTGAAGTTGTAGAACCGGCGCCTAGACTGTCAAATTGCAATTGTGTTTGACTAATTGGAAGAAGTCCATGTCTGACCGCACATGCTTTGTAGTGGCGGTTGAGATGGGTGGTACCAATTCCTTTTTACCATGTCAATTTTTGTTGGCAGTATTTACATACTATTTTAGATTCTGCAAGGCCATTGACGACTTTTTTCTGTTGAAATCAACTTAAAGTGGTCCAAACATTTTGCTTGTTTTTTGGCCTTTCGCTTTCCCTTCACATTTGGGATATTTAATTCAGCATCTTCATCCTCACCTTCCACTTCGGGAACGTTAATATCATCCAAATCAATTGGATTGTGGCTTCCCTAAATGTGAACATCTTCAGGTATCGGTAGATCATTTAGCCCGACAAATTCATTTGGAAATTGACTTTGCGGCGTCCTAGGCGATTCGCCATGATGTGGCCTACATTCTGTATCGAATAAGCTTTCAAGAAATGAGCGTCGATCCATTTGTTTGATTGTTTATGATGAAATCTTAACTAGAAGAATATAAATGTAGTGAGATTGTGAGAATTGAGAATTGGATGAATTGAAATTGTAACTAATAAGTTGTAAAAATTGAATTGATATTGTATATTTTTCAGCACAAATGAGTAAAAACTCGATAATTGATGTTGTTGACATCCGAACTCCGATCTGGTATAAAAAGTTCGCTAACCCCACCTCAGTTAAACGTAAGTTCGGCCCACACTCCCAGGTCGGAGTTACCCACCGTTACCTTAGAAAAATATCATGATTATCCCTTGTCACATCACCCTATCAATCAGAGACACTTGCCACAAGTTATGTCATCGCCGCCCGGAACAACCAATTCCAAGTCCTCGAACTCCAGCCCCTTACAGGTCATCATTACCTGGGTAATACATTGACACATGACCACCGGCCTCATTGACCAATCACAGGAGAATTTGGCGACCCAAGTTCCGAGCTCGGCACTGTTGCTGATTTGATGCAATTTCGGCTGAAATTAGGTATAAATAGTTGAAAAGGACCCTTGTAAAAGCAGAGCGAATTCATATAACGACTTATGGCATAATCACACTAAAATGACATCTTTGTGGTCTTTTTAAGCACAAATCGCCTTTTTTCTTAAAATTGGTTCAAAATTATCCTTGCTAATTTTGATATCAACAGTTTAGCGCTAGAAGGAGGACCCTAATTGTGAAAAATAGTTTTATTCGCTCCACAAAAATTTCTAGAGCCATGAGTCATAGCTCAAGTTCCAGAAATCCATCTCACGCCCACCTTCATGAAACAAATATACCACTGAGTTTCCCACAACGGCAGGACTCTCAAATGATCGCAATGAGGGAAGCCCTAGAAATATTGACAAATGCAGTAGGACGACTGGAAAGGAGCCACACCCATTTGTCCCCACTAGATATCGAGGTGGAATCCCCTGTAAGGACAAAGGCAAAGCGTCCCCCCACCAAAAGGACTCTCCACTTTTCAAGAGGTGAATCATCAAGAAGCCAAACCGACAAGGCCAAAAGTAAGAAACCCGAGGCGAGAAGGATTGCAAGTGTGTTTGACAGATTGGGGACCCATCACTCGCTAACTCCTACGCAAGGAGAAACCGACCTGAAACGTCCTTTGGAACAAACAGAACCCGAACTAAGGGCGCTTAAAAAATGCATCGTCGAACTGGAGGCTAAAAACAAAGGTGGCATTGAAGGTTACCAAACCAAACGACATTCCCCCTTCACTGAGGATGTCCTTATGGAATCACTACCTGAAAAATTGAAAATTTCCCAGATCGCCGCATACGAAGAGGATAGTAACCCCCTTAGCTACCTTGACAAATATACCTCGTGGATGGAACTACATGGGGCAAGCAACGCAATCATGTGCCGGGCATTTTCCCTGACTCTAAGAGACAAAACCCAAAGATGGTTTAGGAGACTACATGAAAGGTCGGTAAAAGATTGGAATGATCTAGCCACGGCGTTCTTGGCCCAGTTTATGGGCTCCAAGGCTAGAACTACACCCAAAGAACGTCTAGTGAGCATCAAGCAGGGAAGAAGTGAATCCCTCAAAAGCTATCTGAGTAGGTTCAACAAGCAATCCATGGAAGTGGAAAAAATATCTGACGATGCGGCACTCATGGCCGTATTAGCAGGACTAAGACCCAAAACGAGATTTTGGTGGTCAGTACACGAGGACGGTCCAAGGACTTATCACGAGTTCCTAAATCGAGCTGAGAAATACATAAGCGCTGAAGAAGCAACCTCTGACCAAAAGGAAGCAAGACGCGAAATTGACCTCAGATGTGGTGAAAAAAAAAAACCATGCCGCAGTCCTCAACCAGAAAGAAAGAAGGACAGGAGAGAAAGAGAACGTCCCAGCGCTCAGCCATACAAGTTCCAGGAGTACCACCCACTCAAAGCCTCCTTGGAAGAGGTATTCAAGCAAGCCAATACAAAAGAAGCATTTCACAGACCTATAGTCCTAAAGGACGGATAGGCCGGACAACGCAGGGACGATACTACTAATATCACAGGATGATGGGCCATGACATTGATAACTGTCAGGATTTAAAAGAGGAAGTTGAATCCT